AAAGTATCTGTCAATATTTTTTTGGTAGAACTTACCGGAGGCAAAACACAATCCTGAATTAGTAAGTATTCATAAGAGTTGCTTCTGGGTTCCTTGAGTTTGAAAATTAGCTGAGTTTGATCAAGGAACATTCAGACTGTTTTACTAGGAGTTTATTATGAATGTCATAGATTTGTTAAAAGCTCCAAGTCTCCTATGCTGGTGCATGCCACCTGTTTCCAATTCTCTTTACTCTTGAAAGATATATGTACGTCATAGGTCTGATCTACCAGTCTGGCAAGGATTTGAGATTTAGACAACAGAAGAGGAGAACGGACTTTTTAAAGTCCAGTTTCCACTGAGTCCCTTCCGACTCCATGTGTCGCAGAACTCTGCTCCACAGGGTTTTCAATGGCTCGTTTTCCAGAAGGAGATCTTTAGGCCCTTCTGAGCACACTCAAACCGCCAACTTCTGGATTAGGAGCTAAGAGATTAAGTCATTTCTTCCCACCTCTTAATTACGTACTGAGTCTGACTTCAGTTACATACAATTAATACCATTAGGCTCTCTGCTTTAAAGACCATTAACCATGTGAGCACAACAGGGAAGGATTCCTTTGTGCACGTTGTCAGGAGGGGTCAGTCCTTGGAAAAAGATATGGTGGGAATGGTGGAGGGTCAGAGAAAGAGGAAGACCCTCAGCAAGAAGGAATGATACAGTGACTAACAATGGGATTGTTGTTAGGTGCCATCGAGTCAAATACGACCCATAGCAACCCTGTGAACAAAAGATCTGAAACCAACCAGTCAGATCTGATTTGACGGTACATGCGCAAAAGATAATAATAAAAAAATAAAAAAATAAAAAAAAGATCTGAAACCAGTCCTATCCTCACACTTGCTGACACACAAGAGCCCACTGCAACAGTCACCCTGTGAATCCACCTGGTTAAGGGTCTTCCTCTCCTTCGCTGACCCTCCACCCTTCCCAACATCACATCCCTTTCTAAAGAATAGCACCTCCTAGCAATATGTTCAAAGTAGGTGAGGTGAAGCCTCATCATTCTTGCCTCCAAAGAGCACTCTGGCTGCATCCTCTCTAAGACACATCTATTTGTTCTCTTGGCTGTCCATGGGATGTTCAGTGCTTTTCTCCAATGCTCAAACCAACACCAATGCTCAAAGTTAACAATTCTTCTTCTGTCATCTTTATTCACTGTCCAGTTCTCAGATGCATAGCTAATAATCGGAAAGACTATGGCCCGAATCAAACGCACTTGAGTTCTCAAACTGACATTACTACTCAATAATTTGGAAAGGTCCCTAACTGCAGATTTCCCCAGGGCAATGGATCTCTTTATTTCCTGACTGCTCGTACCAAAGGTGTTAACTGCAGATCCAAACAAGAAACTGTTGACAGTTTCAATTTCCATGGTTTCCTGTCCTCCTCACCTTTCTAATATATTAGATTTCTAAGAGAGGGTGGAGCCAGAATGATCCCTGGGGTCAATTCTGAAGCTTCGTCTGACATACTTTGGACAAGTTTCAAGGAGGGACTGGTCCTTGGAGAAGGACATCATGTTTGGGAAAGTACAGAGACAGCGCAGGAGAGGAAGACCTTCGATGAGATGGAACGATTCTGTAAGTGGAGTGGTGGGAATGAATGTGTTTGAGACGGCGAGGTTGGCGCAGGATAGAACGGCGTTTAGGGCTCTTGTACATAGGGTTGCTATGAGTCGCAAACGACTCGATGGCACAAAACAACAACAACAATATATGTCTTTTTTTTAAACAATGGGATTGAGTCTATCGCAAATGGCGAGGAGGAAAAAGGAAAGTCAAGGTTTAGGTTTGTTGTTCATAGAGTTGCTATGAGCTGTATTTGACTCTATGACAACTAACCAGAATTCTCAAGTAAATGAGCGTGTTTAGGAAGTTTAGTTTACCTATGACTTTCCTAATGACTTTCCGTCTCAGAGGAGTCTGAGTAATTTAATGCAATTCAAAATTCTTCATACATGTACTTTAAATATCTATTATTTTTATACTTTAAATTTTATTTTTTTAAAAAGTTTGTTTTTAAAAACCATATACTGCATTATTTTATTGCCTGGCTCTCCTGGCTCCTCGTTAAACAGGCAATACATATGTACATTCATGTATACTAGGTTCCACTACCTAACTTGTTTAATCAATATCAGAAAAAAAAATCACAAGACAAGCACATATTTAAGAGTCAATATTTATTCTGATTAATATTTTACAAAATTTTGACAGATTTAATTTATGTAAGGAGAGCTACTTTATTAAACACTTTACAGGTTTTCTTTCCACAGAGTAACACGGTAAGTAGTAAAAGAATACTTGGCACAGTTATAAAGAAAATATAAAATAAAAATATCTGTAGCTTAAGATGCAATGGTACTGTTTTACACTCATTAATATTTCAATTAAATTCCTGGTAACACAGAAAATATGAAGAATAAAAACTCCAAGGAAGGAATTAATGTTCAGGGTTGTGACTAAATTGCTATTTGCTTAAATCAGCCAAGTAAGCTGATGGGAACTATCTCCCTATGGGTCACTCTGACACACACTTTCAGAAGAGGGTTAAGCTGGTTCCGCACACAGGACCAACACAACCGTTACAGAGACACTTCTGCACAGAGGACTCCTGATCAGCTGACCATTTCGGAATTATAGATTTGACTGCAAGTATTAGATGGTTAGTACTGAGACATTCACATTGCTAGTATTTTCCATTTAATTATACATTTAGAAGGCATTCCCCTTTATCTAACTGATAGAGATGTCATGTGTATGGAAAAGATTATTGTACCACAAAGAAAGAAAGTAAACAACACTCTTATCCAAACTCTGAGAAAACCACCACAGACTGTTCATAAAAACATATTTGATAAAAATTTCAACTTAGTTTTTACGTGAAGTGGCTCAAAATACAAAAATTAAAACAAAATTCTACTGTAGTATAAATAACTTTGAATTTAAAAATTATCTAAAATTCTCCCCAATTAGTAGTCAAAACTAGCAGAGACATTTGTAAAGTTAACCAATTTTTTACATTCTATGACAAAAATGGCACAATGCTATTGCCACCCCAACACCCATCTTCTCCCTTTTCAAAAATAAAGTACGTATGCCAATTTTCTAATATTAAAACACTCACATACACTAAGGGTAATTTTTCCTGATGTGTGACTTATGGTCAGAAAAACGACTATATAAAAAAATTGTACTTGGAAATACTGAACATCGACTATATACATTTTCACTGCTCCTCTTACTAAGGCAAGGGGCGGGTTATACCACTAGATTGCTTTAATACCTGTAATCAGCATTTTACAGAAAATACTAATTTTACCAAGCATCAGACATGCAGTGAACTTGCAAGGTATAATGCCTATTAACAGCAATATAGAACATCACTAGAAGCTCATTAGTTCTTTCCCTTTTCTTTTTTGGTTGGGTAAAATGAAATGAGCAGCTTTAAATACACTAATACATACAGACACAAAGAGAAAACTATTTGATAAATTATTATATACAGATACACATTCTTTACACGGTCTAGAATCTGTCATCAGTCTGACCACTCACTCTCCCCACCCAGCTCCGCCCCCCCCCCACCCTGTTCCCTCTCACAGATTTCCCACAGGTTGCTCGAACCACAATTTGTTACAGCACGTAAGAGGACTAAGTCTCATTCTGTAAACAATATGTATGAAATGACTAGTAGTTCACCATGAGTGTATGGAAATGCTGCAACAAAAGTTCATCAGTGCATCATGTTACAATAAAAGAATTTTTCTGAATTTTTTTCAGACAGCTTTAAGAAATTAAAAAAAATATTCAATACTGGAGAAAAATGGAAATAATCTTGGGGGTTGAATTCTACTTTCTGATCAATTATCTTTTTTAAAAAAACAGAATATACCATTAGTTTTTCTTTTATTGACATGTGCTATGTACAAAGATCATGCTCCATCTTTAGCTAAACTCCATTATTCTGTCTACCATTTATTTTGCATCTTGGATTTTTAAAAGAAAGATACCCATTTATCTTTGCTACCTAAAATTTTCCCTAAACTTACTTGTTTGCCTTTTCTTGAAAAGACAATCTCAACTGTCTTAATAATTGGGACTGTTTGCACATAATTTATGCTCACTGGATAGTGTCTGCTAGTATACATTCTATGAAGTGTATCATGCACTTAGTAGGGCTTTTACGTTGGAACAAAATAATGTGACTTACTCTACTCATGCAGGTAGGTGCTTTATAATCAGACCATAAGACCTCAGAGTGATGTTACTACAAATTATTTCACGGAACTAGAATATATCAGCCAAACAACAGGTGATACAAGTTAAAATGTTAGCACTTTTTTTGTGTGTGAACATTATTTTCTCGTGCCTTTGAAGACATGTTACAGTAGATCCCTAATACAATCACATGATTTTTAACAAAGTATTTACATGTACACTGTAAAATGTACATAATACTAATCTGAATCAATTTAAGATAACTTAGCTGGAATTAGACGCAATACTATCAGTAGATTGCATCATCATTCTTACCCATATACTATAAATTTAATTTTAGCTAGAACTGAACATTCCTAATCTTTACACCGCATCTGTCAACAGAATAATTAGTTCATGCCTCTTCCATGAGAAATGTAATGAGAACAAAATCAAAACTTTTGGAGTAGACTGTGAATTCCCACATTAAGAACTACTGAAATCCTTTTTATGTTCTTTCTTCTTTCCAGAAGTGGCAGTGTGTTCTGTCCATGTTTACTTTTATTAATAAATGCGTTGGAAAAAAAAAAACCAAACAAACCAAAAACCTCACAAAACAAAACAACAGTGTAAAATTCATTGTTAGCCCTACATATAGCATGCTATTGTTCAAAGGATGTGGATTCGAGTGTGAGAGAGACACGGACAGACACAGTTTTCAGGCACCACTCAGCAATATGCTTCATAAGATAAAGATGGTGCTACACAAGCTGGTACCCGGATCCTGATATTTGGTCATATTCTATTGTATACTGCCTGGTCCAGTCCACAATAACAGGACGAAAGAGGCCACAGCATCGAAATTCAAAGAAGTCTATTATATTTCTTACACATCCATGGCTAAAATCCAAAACAAGAATAAAGTCAATTAGGACAATGACTTAGTAAATTTGATATCATTTTGGTGTTAAAATACATTTTTTTCTAACCATATAAATCTAGGTTACTTGCCAGAAAGACAGAAAAATTTATACATCTTCTATGTAAGCATTCCTGTTTCTTCACAACTGATCTTTTACTTTTCTCTTTTGCTAATTTTATTGTTAAGAAAATTACAAAGTTATTCCAATCTGTGGGGTGTTTTTTCATTGCTAGACCAAATGTAATTTTAGGTAAATATTTTTCTAGATAAGTGTGGCTTTTTAGCTGAGAGAAAGATTATCTTCCAAACAAAAAGTAAAACTAAAAACACCAAAACAAAAAACCAACGGATATGGATATAAATAAAAGACTAACAATTTGAGAAGGTAAAAAAATGTCAAGGATAAGCCCATAAATTTTAGGACTTCAGTAATATCTTTGGAAAAGTAATGAAGTTTCTTATTATACCTATGGGAGAAATCTCAACATCACTAAACAGGCTACTTTATGCTTGTTTTTACCAATAGGGTTACAGATTTTCCAGAAGCATTTGGTAACCACATAATATAATACTCAGAAGTTTTAAATACTTGGTATTTCTAAGCATTAAATACTAATTATATGAAATATTAAACTGTTTCTAAGCATTAAACGGAATGAAAATTTGAAACATCTACACCTTTAATTTGAACTAATCATGCTACCTCTACAAGAAATCTAAAAATTTAGCAGGATTTATAGGCCATTTTAAATGTTGTTAAGTAAAAGAAATATTGACTGTTTTAGAATCTATTAGCAATACTTAAACAAAATATCTTTTTCAATATATTTACTAGATATTTACTAAGTTTAGATAAGTAAGAAAAGTTACATGGCAAAGAAAATATTAAAAATAAAAATGTACATACTTGAATGGGCTTTCAATAGACGTTGTTGTGACTTTAAAGTGCTTGTATCTTCTGGCATTCATTCTTTCATTTGTAGTAATACCCAAGCATGATATCTATTTTTTTTTTTTTTAAAAAAAAAGCAAACCATTATTACTTGCTCTGGATAGTTAATATTAAAAACTTTATTCATAAGAGGACTAGGATGGAGATAAAATTCATTCTGGGCCTTTGTTTTTGAAGAGGGATCATCAACCTAGTTTATGGACTTTGATTTTCACTGTGTACCATGTAGTCAGATAAATGGGATACCTACAAACAGGCTGTTTGGCACTGTGCCTGTGGAAGATGCACACTACGCATACACCTCTCCATCAGCCTCCTTAAGAATGAGTTTTTAAAAAATATCCTGCTGTTGTTATGTGCTTTGGAGTTAGAAATGACTCAAAGCCAATTTGTCAGTGGGTTTTCAGAGGCTATAAATCACATGGGAGGAGACTGCCCATCATTCTCCAACGGTGCAGCTGGAATTTCAAACCACTTACCTTTGGGTTGGAAGCACAATTCCTTATTGCTAAGGATGCTAGTTTAAAATACTTCAGGTATTTATAGATAATAAAATGACAGCATCAAAATAAAAACAAATGAGTAGCATCATTAATCCAAGCTTATCCAATTTATTTTATCAAACTGATATATACTTGAATCCAGAACAAAAGATCTGTCACATGGGGAATAAATAGTAAATGTCAAAAGTTCTCAGTAAGAATGTATTGTCTCTACTCATCTGGAGCAAAAGAGAATGAAGGCAATCACAGATTCAGAGAGGAAATTATTTTCCAGGACTAACATCCCACACAAACCACAGTCTCTCGTAAGCTCAGACCTGAACCAGAGAGTGTCTGGCTGCCACTACTAATTGTTCTGACCAAAGGCATTTAAACAGAACCATTTATTCAAAAATTATTTCATGGAAACCTAATATGCAGTATAAATATTAATCTAAAATACTAAACCAATATTTCCCCCAAAGTACTTAATATGAGAAAAGAATGAGATAGCAAAAGGTAAAGCCAAAGTAAAAAGAGCCTTTGAAAAGTTTGAATGACTGAAAAAGCCCATTGTTTTAAATGCAACATGAATTCCGATGAGATTTTCCCTTAGCGCACTAATAGACAATACACTTGGACATACCTGGTACAACTGACACATGAGTAGTACAGCCACCCACATGAAATGAAAAATACTGTTCAGAAACATCCAAAACATCCATGGTGAACATGTGGCAATCTGAGTGATATATGTCCAAAATCCATCCTTGGTGTATGTTGTCTCACAGTGGAGTCCCCAGTCTAAAGCCAGAACAGACGGACTCATGTATCAATCATTCAAGAATCATCCAATACACTTATTTTACATACCACTTAGAAAACTTGATTACAGAGGTTCGATTTACTTCAGTTTTCAAAAGCACACTTTTTAACTACTCTTAAAAACCGAAATAAGCAATAATAAAAATATATACCAAAAACAGAATTGGAAAAAAATGAGTCAATCTTCTAAAAAAAAAGAATACTATAACTAACAAAGAGTTTATATTTACTTAATAATGCACACATAAAACATGAAAGTATTTTCTATCCATAAAAGTAAGGTGAAATAGATAATTGAGTTCTCTGAGTGTTCATTTTGGATAAGATGTATTAACGCATGACAAAATTTCCTTGATGAGGGGAGTTTTCACAACCCAAAGTCTCCTACTTTTTGAGAGCTGCCACTGTAAGAACAGTAGGAAATGTGTTCTCTCTTCAGTATGCTGGGCTAGAAATTTTGCCAAGATGTTTGACCAAATAGTTCTACTAAGCTTTATTTAGAAATGGCTTCATTTTATTCATTTAAATAGTAAAAAATTATATTCACATCTATAGAGATGGAAGAACTAGGAATGGAGTTTCTCAATGTTTTATTGTTTAATTAAGAATATAGCATATTTATGCTAAGGGCCACCAAGCCTTGAAACATAGTACCTAATATTTTCATTTCAATTCTGTCCAAATTGAGTTCTGAATACAAACTTCTAAACCTCTCTCTCTCTCTACATATATATAAAATATATGGTTGAGTGAATACAACCTTATTCTTTAAAATTATACCTTGTAAAACCTATTAATATTTTCAAAAAAGCTGTGAAATTACCTTACTTTTCAAAAAAGCTCAAGTACTGTCTATACTTAACTTCAAATATTTTCCCAGTTGTTTAATAAAATAAAAGCAACTAACACAATCACATAATATATAAACTAGTAGAGAAAAAGCAAGCACATGATGTGAAAAATGTTGGTGTATTTTACCCAGAAGCTTTTCAAAGCCTATTAAACCAACACATTTTTCAGTGAACAAGTATTTTTTAAAGTGGTTAGCCAATAGTTGTTTGAACATAATTTAAAAATATGAAAATAGTTTTATAGCTATTTTTGTCCTTTTTGCTGCATTGTAATAAGGTGCCCCAAACCATATTTTTAATTACAAACTTTTGTCATTATAATTTGCTAGTAACAGTAAATATAATCTGATTATGCAAACATTTATGTTTTAATAAGGCAAAAAACTAATTGTACTCACAAGAAATACAACCATAAATCATCCAGCAGATCATAAAAAGCAAGAAGAAAAGGTAGCCCATAAAGTATCTATGGTTGCCTGCACCTAAAGAACAACACAGAGCAATTTTTTTCAGCTAAGAAAAAACAACTGGTAATACACCTTTTGAGGGTATGCCGTGAAAGGTGTGATATAACTTGGACAATAATCACATATATTCATTATCTTACAATGTGTTTTAAGAAAATAAAGGTTTTAATAAAAATCTTAACATAAAAATGCTTATAAATATACATAAAGATGTGATGACTTGCAATGATGTTCATTCTAAAAGAAACAAATCACAACTCTAAAGCTTTGATCTTATTATTTTTTTCCCTATTCTTTCTTTTCTGAGGTTTAAAATGATCCAAATTTATCTTTGCTTTTTTAAAATTATCAATTTTTTTATTTTAATAATTTTTATGAACATTTACAGAGATTTTGGATTTCCATTCATTCATTGTTGCACTTTTCTCCCTGCCCAGCCCTCCCACCCCCCAATTTGCTCCTCTCCTTGAAAAGTAAAAGAAAAATTCTTTCTTTGGTATACAATCCCCCCGCACCCCTCCCACTGCCCCAAGTACACTCCACTATGCAACCTCAATTGTGGACTCTTGTGATAATACCCTATCATATATCACTTTTAAATTATTCTCTCCCTCATCTGTTTCAATGCAGTATACACAATTTATCCAGTTTTTCTCAGTCTTACCCCAAACCTGATATCAGTCCCATTTTACAGTAGTGGCACCATGCAGTATTTGTCCTTTTGCGACTGAGATATTTCACTAAGCATAATGTCCTCCAGGGTCACCCATTTTGAATAATATTGCATGAGTTCCTTGTTTTTCAATGCAGCATAGTATTCCACTGTGTGAATAGACCTCAGCTTCTCTCTCCATTCATTTGTTGATGGGCACCTGGGTTGTTTCCAACTCCTTGGTATTGTGAACAAAGCCATGATAAACATGGGTGTACATATATCTGCTTGGATGTCAGTTATGGTCTTTGGGGGGTATATTCCCAGTAGTGGAATTGCTGGGTCAAATGGTATCTCTATTTGCAACTTTTTGAGAAAGGGCCATACTGCCTTCCACAGTTGTTGCACCATGTGAGTAAGGGTTCCAGTTTCTCCACAACCTCGCCAGCATTTGTTTTTGCTATTCTGACTGGGGTGAGATGGTATCTCATAGCTGTTTGATTTGCATCTCTCTTAGAGCTAGGGATTTTGAACATTTCTTCATGTGTGTGTTAGCCATCCAAATGTCTTCTTCGGTGAAGTGTCTGTTCATATCCTCTGTCCATTTTTCAATTGGAATATTTACCTTTATCTTGCTGTGGTGTTATCTTTGCTTTTTAAACTGGAATTTCAATGAGGTTTACAAAGAAACTGATTTTCACTCATTCACATTCATATACATGTTCCTCCCTCCTCTGCCCCCATTTCACTTTGTAAGGCTTACCCTTTTCCAGACTGTTAACTGTCATACATAGTGTCTAATCATACATTCCTTTCAGTAGTTTATCTTCACTTTTATAGGTTTTCTAATGAAATGTCTCAATCCCTGTTACAATCACTATAATGTTTGTCCCATCACCTCCTAAAATTTCCAGGGTCATCTCTCAGCCTTTTGAGTCCACCTGCCATTCTCTATTTTTTTAAATTTTATTTTATACTGGTTTACATACAAAGTTCATAAAGTTCATACACATTGTTTTTCACACCAAACCTTTCCCCTTTCCTTTAAACAATGCAATATGTCGAATTAGCTTTCATTATTCTTGGCCTCAGCACAGTATATTTTTATTGCCTTATTAATAATTTTAAACCTAAACGAGAAAAACCAGGAACTGGATAATGGATAGCTAAATAATCTTTTCTACCCTAATTTTAGAACTATTTTTTCCTCTGTCTACCAACTAAAGTGTCAACTAGTTAACCAGAAATTAAATGAGGTTCAGAGGAATGAACGTGCAATAAAATACTAGAACGAATTTTCTACTCATATTGCACTTTGTAAGTACCTCAAATAAACAATATACTTAAAAGACTAGCTTAACTTACCTACACAATTACCCACCCACGGGCAATGATGATCGAATTTGGCTATGCAGCGGTTGCACACACCACAATGCTTGGACCGCACTGGTTTCCGTATCTGTTAAAAGGCATGCAAAAGGACTATAAAAGGCATGACTGAGAGAGAAAAGCTTAATGCTTTACAAAGTACAATTATGAAAAAATAAAACTGTTTCTCTGAATAGGATTATACAAAGATGTTTTTAAAAATCAAATGATTATCACCGCTGCTTTGTTTAATGAAATCTGGCAACTACAAAGACTAAAAAGGCTACTACAGTACATATATTTTTAAAGACGGAAACAGAACTATTAATTTACAAAAACAAAAAATAAAGATCAAGTTATTACTGCTATTAATGGTACTTTTATTTCATTTACATTTTCAAGATTCTGAAAAAATAAAGCACACCACCATTTGGACTTCTAAATGAAGATCAAGTATGATTAATGGTTGTGATATCGGTTATTCTTAGTAAGATAAATTTGTTCCTCAGTGAAAGGTCATTCAAAGTGAATAAAATTAAAATTTAAGAATCAAAATTGCTAAAGTATAAATGCTTTCCAAATCCACAAACAGTGGAAAAACAAAACCACAACATAAATGATCACATCTAGATGTTGTAAGAGCTTTCTGAGAACTCAGATTAAGGTACAGAATTCCCCTTACTGAAATGCATGACCATAGCTAATGAAGAGGAAAAAAATGCTTAGCAGTTATTTCTTGCAGATAATAGAATCCATAGTTCTTGACAGGCAAGAACAATTCATGTTTAAAATGTTTCACTAAGTCTTTTGAGATACTTTTTTCCTGGACGCTACACTAAATCAGTCAAGTGAATATAAAAATTCATTAGTGATCTTCACAGTCTGGCAGCTCAATGATGGATATATAGTAAATTATTAACTTAAGATAAACAATTTTTTTTAATATCCTTCATTGGTATTTAAGCAAAAGCAGTGCCACTTCTACATTGGTTCCCAAAAAATTAGATACTATTTTGAGGTACCAAAGAAAAGGCATCAGAGGACAGAACAGTCCTTCTATCCACTAAAATGATCTGTGCACTAAATATAAGAGTATTTATTCTTAGCCAAAGATATGAGACTAAATCTAGTTAGTAAAAAGAAACAGTGAGACCCTACACATACATCCTTCTAACCTCTTCTGCTGCACTGAAATAGACACAGGGTTCCTGAACTAAACAGCCTTCTTGGTTCGCTCATAGAATTATACATTTTTAAGACTTTCTAATGCACTTGTGTTCGGAGCACAAGGTATAATGCACTCTCATATAATGAAAAAGATCTCAATAAATTTGAGTAATTTTGTAATAGGGTATATGATCTTTACAGCATGGGATTATCTATTTAGATGTGGATGACTAACACTAATAAAAATGCTTTATGTCATTAATGACAAAAATATCTTGCCACTAGATACTCACTTAACAATGAAACTACTATCTGTATTAAGCAACAATATAAAGAATTTATTTACCACATAACAAGTACTTCAGCACTGAATATTTGATTATGTGGAACAGAGTATCTCCACAGAAATAGTAGTTCATAAAAACACTATAAAGCCTTAAGAAATGAATGCCAATTGTGTGAACTACCCTTTGTAAAATACAGAGGTCTGAAAATAAAAAGGATCTAGTAAGTACCCTAAAACTATCAGCTTAAGTAATGAAGTATGTGTTTTGAATATTTAAAATCATAACTGTTTAATCACAGAAACTGAAGTAAAACTTATAGGATTTATAAAACGAGTCCTGTATTTTCAAACTCATTCTATAATCCTAAATTAAATAAACTATTTTTTTATTCAAATGTTAACATTAATGACGGAACTGTATAATTAAGAGGTATAAACAAACATTGAGTTTCAGCTATAATGTGGTGAGATTTCAATTACCATGTGACATTCAATATTTATTTAAAAATATTAACTATAGAAACAAAGAAAGTAAGGAAAATATAAAATATTTACTATTCTTTAATAAAGTAATGTGTTTAGTAATAAATAAAATTTCTACACTTAATTCCATATATTTATTTAGCTGCATTTTTATCTTTCTTCTTGATATGGTTAATGTCCTAAGTTATCAAATAGATTTTCCAACTGTGACTTCTTGTATATAAGAATTTTTTTTAAAAAAACAATGGGAGTTAGAAACAAAATATAGGAAATAACAGTAAAACTTCAGTTTTAAATACTTTATCACTTAGCATTTAATTTGCTAAGTTATATTTTAAGAGAGAAAAAGAATATGACAATGACTGGTTTCCCTGACCAAATTGATTACTTTGTTCCCCACACCCAACACCTTCTATACTAAATCACGCTGGGGGAAAGAGTAAGGGAGGGAGAATAAAGAAAATACTACCAAGCAGGTACTGCAGAATATACTGAGGTCCAGACTTCCTGTCTCTGCAAGTTCAACTATTGTCTGTGAATTGGGGGGAGAAAAAAAAAACCCAATATGTTATTCAAAACAGAACTTTTTTACCTAACAATGCTCACCAACTACTGTGCCATCAATGTGAATCAGTATGCATGATGCTCATCTTTAATTTGCCAATGTTTTCAGTGAAAGTTAAAAAAGAAAGTCCTTTGTTCACTTACTTGTGCTGTTTCATTAGAATACAAAAATAGTATTTCTTGGATATATGAAAAAACAACTCTAAACTTAATTCCAGGGACACTGTATTGAGAATAACATTACTCATTTTAAAAAATGGTCTTTATACATATTGATCATGTAAACAAGCCTATGCTTAATAAAGAAGGAAGTGTCAGACTAGATTACGATAAAGAAAACCTGGCAAACCAATTAGCCAGAAAGGACAGTGTTACTGAAGAATAACAATCTTCATACAGCACAGAAAAAGGGGGGCACTGGACTAAAAGAATGTGCCAATACCCAGGACTAGCACATTCAGATTTAATGTTTCCTAAGCCTAGATACAACAGCTCTCAAGATAATTTAATTAGCCCCCGTTCAATTCTTTACTTACAGGATATCTTTAGATTATGAATGTGACTTCTCAAGTATCCTGGCTACATAGAAATGGGATGCTCTGAATGATCTATACATATATTTTAGTGACTGGAATCATGCATCTACACCAAACCAATCTATTAGATTCAGGTTTATACTTTCATTCATGTATATTCACTGAATATACATTATTTGTTTAAGTATTATGAAGATGCTTAAGATACTGTATTTGATCCTCAAAGTAATTACAGTATCTTCATATGGGACAGAAGTATGAGATTTCAAAACAGTATAGAAGTGAAAGGGCACGCAGCAAAAGAACAATAAGGGTAAGCACCATATGAAGATAGACATAATCACAGTTTAGTTTGAAATTTATAATAATCCAAAAGAGAGTTACTTCCTTTGTATTCTAATACCCGCTATAAACAGTAGTAATGGGATAGGTAAGTACAGATTCTATGTTCCTACCTTTTTCTTTTGTTCTTCTGTAGCTTTAATAATTCCTGGATCTGATTTCCAAGACTTTCCAAAATTGTAGAAAAGTGCAACACTATTTGCAAGAAATGGAAGATGGATAAATAAAAAGTTGAGATGTACCTAGAGTTAAGGAATCTAAAGCAGCAATGATAAATGAGTTTCTAGTTTATATAAATTTAGACTACATAAAATCGTATCACAAAAACTAACACTTCAAAACACTGCCACTGAGCTACAACTGATTCACACCTGACACTCCAGCAGGTTTTTAAGGCTGTATATTGCACCGACCACTCAAAAATCTTCAAGCTGATTTTTCAACAAAAATAATGTATTTTCTATTATGGTCATATGACTTTTCCTTAAATTCCAAAATCATGTATACTTATTTATAATTTAAGTTAATAACCATAATTCAGCAAACCTATTATTTTTAATTAATCACTACCATTTTGGCAAAGAAATTATTTTCAAGTTAAGAAGTCAGGCACATACTTTATATGTATTTAATATATGTAATATCAGATGTTACAGACTGTTCTTGTTGCTGTTATGTGCCATGGAGTTGTCTGCGACTCATACTGACGTGATGTACAATAGCTATGAAGCCTGTGCTATTCTAAGACAGTCTCACTGTCTCTGATGCACCTCTGCCCATTACCCCAGTTACTACTGTATCAATTCACCTCATCCGGGGTCTTCCTCTCCTGTGTTGTCCCTCCACCCTTCCAACCATGACGTCCTTCTCCAAGGACCAGTCTCTCCTGGCAACACACCCAAAGTATGTGTTGCAGAGCTTCAAAATCCTTGCCTCTAAGGATTTTTGTATGTATTAACTAGCGCTGTTGTACATAGGGTCCCTATGAGTTGAAAGCAACTCGACGGCACATAACAACAACAACAACATATATATATTGTCAGATGTCACATCCATATATTTAAAAGATAACTCTTAATTCCAGAAGAAAAAAAATATTTAACTCCTCTACCTGATTTTAATTTATAATTTATTCTAAGCATGCAGATGACTAGTCAAAAGAATGGTTACCAAAAGTTATTAGTAACTTGTTATTTCCCCATTGGGATAAAGTAGATGATAATTTAATGAATACATAGTATTTTTTCTCTGAATATATACCATGTAATCTTAAATGTAGAAAATATTATAAACTTGTTCAAAACAATAGTATCTATTAATATTATTCCGGTGGGATCTGACTGATACAGGAGGAGATAGCCCCTCCTTCTCCAGCAGAGCATCTGGTGGATTGCTCATACCTTTCTATTTCATGAAAACAATTATACATTCAATTCCTACAGCAGCCATAGATGGAAGAGTAGAACTGCCTCATACACATTTCTACACTGTGATTTTTTTTTACCCAAAGAGATTATCAAATCTTTTCTCTGATAAGCAGTTGGTGAGTTTGAACCACCAATCTTCTGATTAAGCATCACTTAATCACTTATTAACAGGGCTTCTCTTTAAAGAATCCAGAAAACAAAGTAATATTGTTGGAATCATGTATCATTGAGGTGTTTAAAAACACACTCAGATGCCATTTTCAAGATTTTATATGAAGACAAAGACACAAGAATTTCCTAAGATTTAAGGATGTTTTTGTTGAGTACCATAGAGTTGGAAGTGACTCATAGCAGACCCTCTGGTGGGTTTTCAGAGGTGGATTTTAGTACCTCATGGGTGAAGACGGCCCATTCTTCTCCCATAGAGCATCTGGTGGTCTCAAACTGTGTGCCTTCAGGATTGCAGCACAGCTTCTTGCCAATTATCATTCGTGTACACGTGTACACGTGTACACACACACACACACACACACACACACACACACACACAGACACACACACACACACTCTACATTTTTTAAGAAGCACAGAGACAAAGAATAGCTTCCTGAATAAAATGACTCAACATTTGTTTGGCAAATACTAAAGAAAAAAAAAAATCCCTAAAACAAACAAACACCCATTTAAAATATGAAAGAAGGGGGAAGGGGCAAGTTAAGGTATTGGTGAGTATCATACATAATTTCTAAAGTACTTTTGGGGACAAAATAGGGAAAAATGACTTTTCTTTCCCTTTTTTTGCTCTAGTCAATTTCTTTGCAACTTTCACTATCATTATTCCACAAATACACTAGTATAGTCAGCAGTGAGTAAAAAAGAAAGAAAAAAAACCTTGCAGTTGTTCCAACAGCTAAAAAACTCTTTAAGGATAAGGCTGGGTAAATGAGCAAAGAATGCTAACTCTGGCATTATTCAGAGGCAGTATTTTTACTTATTGTGGCAGTTTTAAAATTTGCCAATATATAGATAAATGTCATGATTTTATAGCTTGAATGAACTTTATACATAGGAGTCCACTTAGCTCAATAAATGACTACTGATTGAAAAAATACATTAACTAAATCTGATTAATATAAATAATTTTGTTTGTTATTCAAGCATGAAGAAATCATAGGTTTTGAGCACTTATAAGTCAGACCAGCTAACTGAGATGAATTCTGTATAAATCACTTAACTGTTTCTAAAACTTTAAACCATTAAACATTAATATTTTCTCAATTAAAATATTGTTATTAGAGAATTTCATAAAACACTGAAAGAGTATAAAGACAAAAACAATTTCATAACCTAGAAATAACATCTCTTATTTTAGTATTGAACGTTTTTAACCATAACTGCATTTCATCATTAAGAAAATGAATGACAACTATAAATAAATCATCAGTAATCGGTGCAGAGTTAGCAGTATGAACATACTAGCTGCTCTGTGAGAAAAAGATGCAGACATCCACTCATATGAAGATTTTTAACCCTGGAAACTTGTTGTTGTTGTTGTTGTTGTTGATAGGTGCTGTCAAGTTGAGTACAACTCACATTGACTCTATGAACAACAGAAGTGAATCCTATGCTATCCTGTGCCATACTCATTTCTGTAGCAGTAACTGTCAATCTATTTTCCTGGGGGGTCTTCCTCTCTTTCAACCACCCTTCATTTTTCCAAGCATGATATCCCTCTCCAACAAATACTTTCTCCTAACAAGATGCTCAAAATAGGTGAAAGGAAGCTTTGTCACCCTTGTCTCCCAGGAGACTTCTGGATGCTTCTTCTCCAAGACATATCCTTTTGTTCTTCTGGAAGTCCATAATATATATAGTCAGTAATCTTCTCCAATACCAGAGTTCAAAGGCATTAATAATTCTTCTGTCACCCATATTCACTGTCCAGCTCTGAGAAGCATAGCAAATGAATGAAAAGAATATGACCTGAAATAGGAGCACCTTAGTCCTCAAACTGGCACCACTGCTACTGAGTAATTCTTGAGAGATCCTTGGCAGCAGATTTTCCTAATGCAGTATGTCTCCTGATCCCCTGACTACTGGTAAAAAGGAAACTACAGAATCTAGCAATTCTACTCTATGACTACGAATGTGTCTTTTAAATTGCACGAGGACCTCATGAAGTCCTGCTGCTATTCTCATTTCACTACTGACAAAACTGAGCCCAAGGTTAGGTAGGCCAACATTACAAACTGGGTTAGAGATAAGAGAATTAAAAGCCAGGTTCTTGTTATCTAAGCTATGCATTTCTCTTTAAAGTGTTCAGCAGAATTTTCTATTGTGGCTGTTAAATGTCGTTGAGTCACGACTCATAGAAACCCTATGTACAACAGCCCTGAAACATGTTCTATCCTGTGCCAACCTTACTGTCTGACACACCCACCCTCATTACCCCAGTCACTGTATCAATCCATCTCATCGATGGTCTCCCTTTCTTTCCCCATACCTCTGCCCTTCCAAGCATGATGTCCTCCTCCCAGGACCGGTCTCTCCTTGCAATATGACCAAAATGTGTCAGATGAAGCCTCTATACCATTTAATATTATGGGAACAGTATCTTTGGGTAAGAGCACTTTTAAGGTTTTGACAGATGATTTTATAATGTCAGACTATTTTCCAGAAAACTAAACCTATTTATAAACCCTTTAGCAATAGATGATTGAGAAAAAATGCCAATAGACAAAATCATCAATATAAATAGAAGGAAAAGAAACATAATAGAGCTACTCATTTTATCATTACTGAAATAAATTTTGGCTGAAATTATATGTATCCTTTTCCAGCTTTTTACGTATTTAAAAATAAGCATTTATATGTATATTTCTCTTTCTAACTTATTATCCTAACCATAAGTGCAAAACATTAAGTCTTACAAAGACTACTAATGGCTACTACTGGCTGACAGAGAACCATTTCAAGAAGCAGCATATGGTCAAGAGCCAGTGATAATAAAGGAAGAAGTTCAAGATAAAGGAATTGGCAAAAATTAAGGCCCCAAGACTTGATGGAATAGCAACTGAAATATTTCAACAAATAGATGCATCCAAGGTTGTTCCAGGAAATTAGAGGACAGCTACCTAGCCAATTGACTGGAAGAGATCCATATTTATTCCATTCCCAAAAAGAGATGATCCAACAGAGTACGGAAATTATCAAACAGTATCCCTAATAACACCCATGCAAGCAAAATCTGCTGCTGATTATTCAAAAATGACTAAAACTGTATGTTGACAGAGAACTGACAGAAAAATTAGCAGGGTACAGAAGAGCTGTGGCCCAAGGGTTATCACTGTCAGTATCACATAGATCTTGGCTGAAAGCAGAGTTCAAGAAGGATGTTTATTTTATTTACGAAGGCCTGAGGCTCAAGGCTGATGTGCCTGGGTGCACATTTCAGGAGCTATCCTGACTGTGTTATTAATCTAGATTATAATCTTTAGACTTCCAAAATATGGTTCTGTGTGGTCTGTAAACTATTATATCAGATTTTGGACCCAGCAAAGCAGTAAGATTGGTGTTGAGAAGAGATACTGGAGCGTAGGGGAAATGTCTGACCTCATGGTAATTGGTGTTACTGTAGGCAGGGTCAGTTCCCCTTTGTGAAGCTGGGAATGGTCAGATATACCCCCACATGGCCCTTGCTCTTTTTACAATCATATACACAGCATTCTAATACAAATACACACTCAATGCACTTGCCTGTACATTAAGTCATGGAAATAACAAGACTTTTTTCATATAAGATATACCTGAAGCTATATATACTTCTTCTCAAGAACACTATGACATAGTAGTATTATGTCACTAATCTACAGACCAAATCAAAACTCAAACTCATCGCCACTGAGTTTATTCTAATTTACTGTGACACTCCATCAGGTTTTCAAGGATCTAAATCTTAACAGTTGACTGTCTCATCTTCCTCCTGTGGACTGGTGGATTTGAAGCACCAAACTTCAGTCTGCAGTCTAATGAGTAAGACACTGAATATATATACAAGTAAACAGAAAACTTAGTATTCTAATATTGTAATTTTTACATATACAACTTACTAAATGCATTAGACAATTACTTATACACCAAAATATAGTTACAGACAGAACTATCCAAGTAAGACAAGTAAAACAAACTTAATTGTTTAGGCTCTTCCCTTCAAAATTTACCTCTCCTATTCTCAACTTCTTAATTTATGAATATTTACAAAGCTATTTTGTACTTTTCCAAGAAAAGAAAGAAAAAGGGAAATGAAAATTATACTATACTTTCATATCTCTGACATAGGTTTTCATGATTTAGTAATTTACAATGTTCCTTCTTTCCTCCACATATATGTATAACTCAGATGAGAACAGTAACAACCCAAAATTATTTTGAGATAGATATCTGACCATTTACTCTTGAAGATAAAACTTAATTAACAATTAAGGAAACAAAGTTAGGAGGTATGTCTAGACAGTAAAGTTATAGCAAGGATCAGTTTTTCAGTAAATTAAAAATAGATGAGGCAACGAAAACATGGTATGTCTTACACTGAATGTTTCAATAAAAAAACGATGCTTAATAAATCCTCGAGGAACAATTTGTATGTCAAAGTATAATACAAGGCTAAAATGAGCTGGTAAAAATAGACACATGAAAGAATTTAACAGGTGCTTCTAGGAGGAAGTATAAAGAAGTACTATACTTTCTGAAAATAATCATGTAAAGCTGTAAAAACATAAGAATTATAAATGTACCCAATTTTGATTCTTTGTTTTATGTGTCAAAAAATAAAACAGATACTTTTGGCTTTTCATTTAAAAGACAAAGCAATTTAACAAAAAGAAAATATATAAAGATTGTAACTGAAACCAGTTATTAATAAAAATTTTTTTAAATGGTTACAGGTTACCAAAACAGCCTAGTGTATAAAAGATCTTACATGCTTTTTTATAATAATGCTTTGAAAAATAAATTAACAGATATTTCTATAATATATGCTTTTATTATAATAAATTAGACTGCTTTCCTTACTGAACTTTAAAATGTAAGCACACAATCTAACATTGTTCTTAGTTCTTTGATTCACATATACTCATACACACAAACTTTTTAACTTATATTGTTACTAAAGAAGTATACTGCACTGAAATAATGTTTGAAGATACAATGTTACATTCTTTTGATGGAAAAAAAAGATAGGACATATATAAAAAAGAAATTATCATAGGAAAGTAAGAAAATAACAGAATAGAGTCTAATATTAAAATTTAAAAAAATCAATTTAACAGGTTCGGCTCATACTTCAGTTTTGACAAAAGACTAGATGTGTGGTCTTTAACATCGTTAAGCATGACTTTGACTTTTCTTTATCTATTAAATGGAGATAAATGTATATTAAATAAGTACAACAAAATTTTTAATGGACTTTAAGCATTCATAAATGTTATTAAAAGTAATTTACAAAGGCAATCCATTGAATATTAAAATTTAAAAGCCGTATTTAGATTGTTATGTGCCACTGAATCAACTCATAGCTGAACACCAGCTGGTAATCAGAAGTATTAACATTTTTCTTTCAGGAATACCATTTTACTGTAGTAAACCACGCGCAGTTTAATTCTAATGTTAAATAACAAACTAAAATTGCTCTAGATTTGAACTTTTCAAAGGATATCATTCCAAAACCAGAAGAACCACGTCACATACATCCAGAATTTGGTTGCCAAATATATTCCAAGAGGCAATGCACTATGCATTGAATGATCAAAAAAGGATCTGTAAAATATAAGTTTTATAAAGTTTTAATACAGTATCTTACTGGAGGGTGGGGAAAATAAAACAAAAGTGATACATGTTTTGTGTGTATAAACACTGACTTAACCAGAATTTAGAATGTTTACAAACCAACACTGTTCTCCTTGTAATCAAGAATTCACAATAGAATGACTCAATAAAATTCTGAAAACTTCATTAAGTAAAAACTAAAATTATATTCCATTTACTTTTCAGCTCTTGGTTTCAGTGTACTTTGCTCTGAAAAGTTGTAATTCATATTATATCAAGTAATTCTATTTCCAGTCACCAAAGATGTTCTACAGTTTTGACAAGTGATTACAAAACAATCATCAGTTCTTCTCTGTATTCATTATAACTCATAAATGCACTCTAGTAAAGCCTTGGGCAGATCTTTTCAAATAGAACTGGGTCATTTAGCATAACTGAAGGTCCATTCAGACATAAGACAAGCGAGATCAACCTTCTACACAGAATAGACAGTAGATGAATTACTGTATGTCTGTACTATTTCTGAGCTGTAAAAACATGAAAAATGAGAGTAATAATCTGGAATTAAAGCCCTTCTTAAGAAATAACTCATTAGTGGCTGACTAGTCATTTTCACCTCTCTGAATTATTTTCACACTGTGTTCTTTTGAAACTTAAATGAGAACAAGGTGCTAAAGGAATGAAAATTAGGTGGAAATTCCGTTCTTGGAGATAAATGTGCTAAATGAAGCAGCTGTAGGGCAACAGGGTGTGGGGGCAGGAGAAAAGGAGACAATCACAATGTTTAAACAAAAATAAGAATTAAAACCCCAAACCAAAAACAGCATAGTTCTTCACTATGCTTTGACTATTTTGCTACTAAAATAAAACCTCATAGTCTACTACTGCTTATGATCAGAGAAAATAGAATTGTAGAAAGGTGAGCTGAAGTATTAAAATTATTGTATCTACAAATAAGAAACATGTATGCCACATTTAGAATTCATCATATTTAGGTTTACTTTTATTAAAATGTTCTAAATAGTTCTGAAAACGTATTTTGCCTTAAAAATTGTATGCTAAACTTTTGTCATGAAATATATCTTTAGAATCATTTAAAAATCATGTTGAGAGGGTTAAACCAGCTGCTTCTTTGAGGCAGGATTCTGAAGCTTTGTCTGACATACTTTGGACATGCTGCAAGGAGGGACCAGTCCTTGCAGAAGGACGTCATGCTTGGGAGCGTGGAGGGACAGCACGAGAGAGGAAGACCCTCTATGAGGTATATTGATTCAGTGACTCTGGTAATCAGGGTAGGTGTGTCGGAGACAGTGCGATTGGCACAGGACAGAGCAGGGTTTAGAGCTCTTGTACACAGGGCCACAGGTGTCTCGACGGCACATAACACCAACATAACAATATCCGTGTCAAAAATTTTGACATGCTAAATTAAGATCAAACATGTTACATATATTAACGGTAATGTTCTAAACACATCAACATTCATTGTCATCCTAGCAGGGCATAACTTATAATCTTACATGAATAGTTAAAAAGAGTACACTTACTTTGAAAGAAATTGTACTGTAGCCCAAACGCCACCATACATTAGGCCTTTAATGAGCCAAGAATCAATATTTAGGTCTGCTATAAAACCAACCAGCCAAATAACTAGGAAAGGAGTTCCTAGCATAACCTTTTGCCGAAATTCCTGTGTGGAAGGAAACAAAAGACTGGTCAGAGCATGCCATATGTTTCAAATTACTATATAGAAAGAATCAATGTAACCTTTGTGAAAACATGGAACAGAGGATGAAATTAATTTATCCAAATATGGCAACCATGTGGAGACAATGTTTAACTGTTGGTATCTCTCTACCTTGTGAATGTAAGTATTAAACAATTTTAAAATAGTTGGTTAAAATCTTGGAAAATGAGATTAGAAGTTACAGATGTATGCTCTATAAAGTTAAATACAAATGACAGTAGTATCCATGGCTAACACACAGTCTGGCCAGAAAACAGAACATTCAATGACAAACACTACACCATTTAAATAGGGGGAATGACTTCTAGACTAGAAAGACAAGAACTAAAATAACCAATAGTCTGAAAAAACCTGAGACTGATTAGTCTTGAAAACACCTTTTAAATGATATCTGTAAACAGAATGTTGTTACTATGTACTGTCAAGTTGACTATGACTCATAGTGACCCAATGAACAATGGCTCAAAAACTTGCCCTATGCTAAGCTAACTTCATCATTTCCAACACACCTGACCCCAATGCTCCAGTCACTGTGTTAATCCATTTCATCCAATTTGTTCCTCTCTTGCACTGTTCCTCCACCATTCCAGCAGGTTGTCCTTCTCCAAGCATTGGTCCCTCCTTACAACATGTCCAAAGTATGTGAGACAGAGCCAACATTCTTGCTTCCCTGGAGCAATGTGGTTTCACTCTCTCCAGGACGGCTCGGTCCGCCCTCTTGGCAGTCCATGCAATGTTTAATACTCTTCTCCAACACCTCAATTCAAAGGCATCAATTCTTCTCCTTAGTCACTGTCTAGTTCTCTGATGAATAGCAAGTAACTGCGAGCACGATAGCCTGGATCAAACAAACCTTAGTCTCTAGACTGAAATTACTGCTCTTAAGCACCCTGGATAGGTCCCTGACAGACTTCCCTAAAGCAACTGGTCTTTTCATTTCATGACTGCTGGTGCCTATAGTATTTATTGTGGAACCAAGCAAGCTGAAGCTGTTAACAATCTCAATCTCTTCTCCATTATCATGATACTGCTATGTGGCCCAGTGGTAAGAATCTTTGTTTACTTGATGTAGAGCTTCAAGCAGTCTTCTTGACCTTCTGCAGACAGTCACTGTACCAAAAAGAACTGGCTGACATAGAAGAATTTCAAGAGACAACAGAGGCAATGGTGATAAAGGAGGAAGTTCAAGTTGTTGCTCTGAAGGAACTGGCAAAAAAACAAGTCCCCAGGAACTGATCGAATACCAGTGGTCATATTTCAACACACAGAACCTGCCTTGGACATTCTCATGAGGTTGTGCCAGGAAATCTGGAGGACAACTACCTGGCTAATAGAAGAGATCCATATTTACTGCCATCCCAAAAAGAAGTGATCCAACAGAGTGTGGAAATTACCAAACAATATCACTGATAGCAGTCTCAAGCAAAATCCTGCTGATGATTATCCAAAACCAACTGGAATAATACATCAACAGAGAATTACCAGAAATACAAGCTGGCTTTAGAAGAGGTCGAGGAACTAGGGACATCATAGTCAATGTCAGATGGATCCTGGTTGACAGCACTGAGTATGAGAGAAATGTTTATGTGTGTTTCACTGACAATGCAAAAGCATTTGACTACATGGATCACAAAAAATTATGGCTAACCTTAAAAATAGGAATCCCAGAACACTTGACAGTGCTGAAGCAGAACCTATACTTGGACTAGAAAGCAGTCTTCTGAACAGAGTAAGAAAACACTGCATGGTTCAAAATCAAGAAAAGTGTATCAGGGATACATCCTGTCTCCATACCTTTTCCTTTTTTTTTTTTTTCATACCTTTTCATTCTGTATGTGGAACAGATCATTCAGGGGGCTAGATTTTATGAGGAGAAATGTGGCATCCGAATTGGAAGAATACTCATCAACAACCTAATTGTAATTAACACAACTTTGCTTGGCTTGGAGTAGGCATATCTTCAGTTTCTAGACTGACATTGTTGCTCTTAAGCACTCTGGAAAAGCCCTTGACAACAGATATTCCCAATGCTACTTGTCTTTTAAATTCCTAACTACTGGTGTGAAAAAAAGGGTGTCAATTGTGAAAAAGGGTGTCAATTGTGATTCCAAGCAAGATGAAGTTGTTAACAACCTCAATCTTTTCTCTACCTATCATGATGCTGCCTGCCAGCCTGGTGGTATCTCTGTTTTCTTGATGTTGAGATACAATCCATATTGAAGGCCACAGTCCTTGACCTTCTGAAGCAAATACTTCAAGTTTTCTTCAGTATGCCCAGATATATTTTAAGATGAGATGCAGCACCAAAAAAAAAAAAAAAATCTACAGAGTTCCTGAGAACACATGATGGAGATAGATGCCTCTGTGCACATACCACTGCAAGGTGCTCAAAAGACTCCATAGACAGACTAATTTCATTTCTGTACTTATCTGGTTATTAGGGAGCTGTATCTTTAAATTAGCTCAAAAGAAGTCTATTGTCCCTTCCATATTACAGCCCTTAACAATTGGAGCAAGCTATCAAGGGTTTCTAGAGTTAACTCAGTAAGTGATAAAACTATACATTTCAACTGTAGTCTAAAAATTAAAGTCAGAATGGACATAGAACTTTTTCTCATTGATCTAAATATTTACCTCCTTAAACAATATTACATTTTAGCACCAGTACCATATTCTTGTTTTCTAGTGAAACAAAGACATTTTCAAATAAATGGCCATGTCTCTTCCAATTTAGTCACAGCAAATCATTCTCTAAACTAAACGTGTAATTTTAATTTCGGCTAATAAACACACTGAGTTACGAGTTTAATTTTATCCTATAGTAAAACAGTGAACCATGTAATTCTTTTGTTTCTAATATATGTGAATTTTTATCAAGATATTGGTTGTTAGATGTTGTTGAGTACAACTCATAGTAACCTTATAATAAAACACCTGAACCCTGTCCTATCCTGTGTCATTCTCATTATCTCTGACACACCTGACCCCATTTCTACAGTCACTGTGTCAGTGCATCTCACTGTGAGGTCTTCTCTTTCCCTGAGTCTCCATGCTTCCAAGCATGATGTCCCTTTCTAAGAAAAGCTTCTCCAAGCAACATACCAAGCCATAAGAAACAAAGCTTCACCATCTTTGACTCCAAGGAGCACTCTGGTTGCACTTCTTCCAAGACATAACCTTATGTTCTTTTTTGTAGTCCATGGAATATTCAGTTTCTTTTCCAAAAACACACCTCAAAGGCATCAATTTTTCTTGTGTCATACTTACTGTCTAGTTCTCATAAACCATGGCTTGACCAGGTGTATCTTATTTTTCAGACTGATCATCATTGCTCTTCAGTTTTGTGGAGTGGTCTGAGAATAGATTTTCCCAGTGCAGTACTTTTCCTGATCTCCTGACTATAGGAACCAAGGGTGTGAAATCACTGACAATTTCAATCCTTTCTCCATTTCTCATGACGTCTACTGGCCCAGTAGTGAGGATCTTTGTTTTCTTGACATTGAGATATAATCCAAACGGAGGGCTCCAGTCCTTGATATTCTGCAGCAAGCATTTCATGTTCTCTTCAGTTTCAGAAAACAAGTTTGTTAAGATGTCTTCCTCTGATCCTGGTGCCACATTCCTCTTCATAAAGCCAAGTTTCACAAATTATTTGTTAAACATACAGAGTAAATAAATATAGAGAAAGGATGCATCCCTGTCACATATTCTTCTAATTTTAAACCATGGCATATTCCCTAGTTCTATATGGGCAACTTCTTCGTCTACGTATAGATTTCCCATGAGCACAATTAACTGTTCGGGGATTCCCATTTTTCTCCAATATAGTCATAGTTTGTTATGATCCATGCAGTCAAATGCCTTTGCATAGTCAATAAAAGACAGTCATTTTTCAGGTATTCTTGCTTTCAACCAGAACCAGGATCCATCTGATATCAGAAATGATACCCCTGGAACCACATACTCTTCTAAACCCTATCTGAACTTCTAGTTCCCTGCCAATGTATAGTCCTAGATGTTTTTGGGTGATCTTCAGCGATATTTTACCTGTATGTAATATTAATGATAATGTTGGATAATTTCTACATTCTTTTAGGAGCAATGCTCGTGATACAGTGGTGAGCATAGCTGCCTTCAAAGAAGTTTAGTCAGTTTTGAGTCCTAACCAATTCAGTGAGCTGACCAAGATATTAAAAAATACTGATATCTGGTAAATAGGTAAGGATGACTATTCAGAAAAAGTCTTTTCTAAAATCATCTTTTTTTTCTGTCAAGGTTTTTTCCTTTCCCCTGTACTGGTCACATTCTTTTTTTTTTTTTAATAATTGTAATGAACATTTACAGAGATTTTGGATTTCCATTCATTCATTGCTACACTTCTCTCCCGCTCAGCCCCGCCCAGCGCCCCCGCCCCCCGCACCGCCCCCCAGTTCGCTCCTCTCTTTCAAAGTAAAAGAAACCCTCCCTAGTACACAATCCCCCCACACCCCTCCCACCACCCCAAGTACATTCCACTATGCAACGTCAATTCACATTTATGTTTTTAAAAGTAAGCTTAAGAGACACTGGTCAAAAGAAAAAAAAAA